AAAAAAAAAAACACACTTTGATCTGTTTGAGGGTATTGTAAAGCCTTACATGGTTTAAAAAGTGTTCAAGTGAAGTAAATTAATCATTTTTCAGAGACATATGATAACATTGAAAAAAAATAAATAATAATAATTGGGATTTAAAAGTGAAGAGAATTAGAAAGTCGATGACTGGCAGAAAATGACCTGTTACACACAGGAGATTACATTCTAAATTGAGAAGTTGTGTAAATAATGATCAGTTTGGTTAGGTATTGTGTGCTGAGGCAGTTGAGAGCTGTAAAATGTATGATTCATATTTTAAATTTAAGTTGTAAGAGGTTGTTAGCCAATTCCCCATTTAAAAAAAAAAACATAATTTAGAGAGTGTTATTCCAATTATAACCCTGTGGAGTTCATAATTTTAAATGTGTTACAAATTAAACTTGATGGAAGGGAATGTGGTGCGATGCTTTAATTTGGTTTGATTAACATCACAGTATGTACTGTGTGCATATTTAGATGCTTTTCATGAGCTCAAGTTTATTGATTGACTCGGATCGTTTCAGAAGTTTCTTCTCAGGCTCTCAGCGGGTGAACTTCTCTTTCCTTTGAAATTTTTATTTATTTATCTGTATTTCTGCCAGTGTTCCACAGCTCAAGGACATGCATGAACACGTACCAAAGATTTGCCTCCGGTTTGTGACGCGTATCCTCAGCCGCTCACCGTGTCTCTGCAGCCAACGGGACGTCGGTGACAGCCATCAAATAGGAGCACTGACAAAAAAGATAACAAAGCTGAGAGGCCCAGCTAGCAGGTTGGGAATTACATGGGTGATGATCTGTCTAAAATATTGTTCCAGTGAACATTGGACTATTCCACCAATGGTGCGTGTCAATAGCTTTTGGTCGCGCCGCTGTCAGATCGGCAACGGTGGCGACCTGTGTCTGATTCTTGCTCACTGCAATCAAGAAAACAACAGGTGGCTGTGTCTCACTGGTGAACCCAGATTCTGTCAGAGGAACAGATGGAAAACCTGCAGTCCCTTGTTTCACCTATCACAAATATGCATACAAATGTAAAGAGGTGTTTTCTGTAATCAGGGTCATGAGGGACCTCAGAAGAAAATTGTATTGCTCCAAGGTTCCTCTTTTATAATACAGGATATTTTATGGATTTCTTACTGATGAAATTAGTCATTTCTGTATCACTAGCATCTTCAAATGGAATTACAAAAAATAATTACTGTTTTCCTAAAGGTTTAAAATAAATAAATAATAATAATCATGTTTTTCCATTTGTTAGATATACAAATAGACAAACAGAGTATTGTCTCAAACCAAAAACATAATTAACTTTAAAATGTCTTATTTATTTAGTGTGGATTACTCTTATTATCTCTGAATATTAAAGGAACAGTTTACCCAAAAGTGGAAAACGTGCTCACCCTCATGCCATCCAAAATGTAAATTAGTTTGTTTCTTCATCGGAATGGATTTTGCAGAATTTCTCCAAATCTGTTCCAATGTATATCAAGTATTTCTGTAACACTTTACAATAAGGTTCATTAGTTAACATTAGTTAACTACTTTAGTTAACATGAACTAAGCATTAACAATAGTTCTACAGCATTTTTTAATCTTAGTTAATGTTAATTTCAACATTTACTAATACATTATTACAATCAAAAGTTGTGCTTGTTAACATTATTTAATGCACTGTAAATTAACATGAACTAACAATGAACAACTGTATTTTCATTAACTAACATGAACAATGATTAATGAATACTGTAATAAATGTATTGTTCATTGTTTGTTCATGTTAGTTAATACATTAACTAACATTAACTAATGGAGCCTTATTGTAAAGTGTTACCAATATTTCTTCTAAAAGAAGAAGAAGAAGACGGAAAATAATGTGTGAATAGAATAGCTTAGATCTTTTGGTTTCTAATAATAATAATAATAATAATAATACAATATTAGAAATGTTTGAGTTCTGATTGAAATTTTGAAGACATCTTATTTGTCACAATTATGTTCAGTTCAGTTTAGTTCCGTTCCTGTCATGTTTGTTATGAGCTCTCATTAGCTCATGGCTTCTTATTAGTCAATCCTTGTCCAGCTGTTCCTGTTTAGTTCCCTCATTTACCATGTGTGTATTTATACTCCTTATTCGAGTCTCTTCATCGTCGGTGATTAGCTTATGTTATGTGTTGTACCAAATCATCAATGTGTTGTATTCTCAGTAAAGTCTGTTTGAAAGTATGCATCTTCGTTTGCTGTCCTCATTCGTTGACAACCCGTGACAGAATCACTGACCACAAAAGAGAAAAAGCAAACAGAGAGAATGAACTCACCAGCGTTACGTCTCCTCCTCAGACCAGAAAGTCGAAGGTGGTTGGGGTATTTAGGCTGGATACTCCAGAACGGCGGCCTCTCCCTCACAGTCAGCAAGCCCGAGACACCAACAGGGCTCTTCCAGGAACCAGAGCCGGATATTACCACCAAAGCCCCGGAGGCTACGCACGCTGATCAGTCCACCCTAGAGCCAGGAGCGGACATGCACCTGATAGATCTGTGTTCCGCAGATCCTGTTCCCACCCAAGTACCCACCCTCAAACCTTTGTCTTCTTCGCCAGTACCGTCCAGACTGTTAGAAGCTCCGGTCCTGTCCTGAGATCTTCCTCCTCCGATGTCCTGTCAGATTTCCTGGTCCCATCTCCTCCGCTGGTTTCAGCTAGTCCCCTGGATTCGTCTGTCGCACTGGTGTCGTCCAGCTCCTCGGCTCTGCCTCCGCCGCTAGCTCTGTGCGGCTCATCAGCCTCGCCTAAGGCTTCCCCTCCACGCTTCAGCACTCCAGGCCTATGTCTCCACCTTGGCCTGTCAGCCCGCCGACTCCATTCCGGCTCTGCATTTCCTCGTCTCCACCGAGGCCCATTTGCCCTAGGACTCCTCTGGGCTCCCTCTTACATCTGGTCGGTCATCGCTCAGCTTCCGCCATGGACTTCTGGATCTCCGGCGGTACCTCGACCCTCCACCCCTTCGGCTTCACCAGGTTCCTCCCTCCCTCTGGTTTACCCGTCGTCCTTTTTTTTTTATAAACATCTTTTGTTGTACTTGCTGAAGTCTCTTCACAGCTTGATATCAATCGATAAACCAATGCGAATCAAATAGTGAGAATTTGGGGCGTGGCTACTGTAAGCAGGCTGAGCCAGAGGTTGTTTCCCAAATACAAAGAGACAGACTTTCCAAAATACAAAGAGGCATAAAATGGGATAAAACTAGGGTAAACACTGGTGGTGCTTTTTACAAGATGGAGGGATTTATTGAAATGTTTGGGTTTCAATTGAACTTGAGTAGTTTCTTCTCGACAAGTAAGCTAAACATATTCTTTTGTTGGACGTTTTATTGAAAATAGTCTACTTTTACCTCTTGAGACATGCCTTCACTTTTATAGACCTGTAAGAGCTGTATTTTTGATGTTTGAGTTGGAAGAGGCTTAAAGTGTGAAAGGGGCATTTCCAAAGTTTTTTTTTTTATTTTTTAAAACATGCCTCCCTTTTTATGTATGTATTTATGTATTTATTTAATTCCACTAGTTGACACAAGTAGCACATCAACTATATACTCCAGCTTTAACTTAACATTTAACATTATTTATTTATTTACTGGCCGTTATTTACAATAAATCACCTTTAAAACTATAAACAACCAGGGTAAAAATCAGAATCAAAATAGCTTCATCTCCCTCAAGACAGTTGCACTTGTTTGTCTTTTGCAAGTTTTGACAGTTCTGGGAACAATCAGGGATAAACTGCCCCTGAGAGAGTCCTGACAGCAAATTTATAAATTAAATCCAGTTGGGACACTTAACAGTAATGATTTTTTTTCTTTACTCTTTTCCCTTGATGGAATTTAATTATCATTGAATCTCAACGATATTTTTCTTAAAAAAAAAAACTGATGTCATAATTATGGCAATTAATCCTATATTTAAGATTAGTTAATATTAAAACATTGAAATAGATCTGTCACGGAATGCCAGGAGAAGACAAAATTAGATTAATGTGCAGTTTAATTAAATTCAAACAATAATCCAGAACATAGGGTAACAGAAAACACAACGTGACGGGTACAATACTGCAGCAACAAAAGACAGAGTGAGCATGGTATAAATAATGATGGGATAATGAGTAAATGACCTACAGGTGATGATAATCAGAACAGAAAAGACTAGGCAAAGGACTATGGGAAAAATAGTTCATAGCATGTAACAGTGAAAGGGGAGAGCGCCATCAAGTGGCCAGTCCAGGGCACAACAACCAGACACTGTGACATTACCCCTTCTCTAAGGAGCGGATACCAGACGCTTCACCAGAAAACACAAAAGTTCAGGAGGGAGGTGGAAAGGAGGCAGATCAGGGGGAGGGATGGCGGGCCAGGCCCGTGCAGTGGAAGAGGGCCCTGGAGACAGAGGTAAACAAGGGTGCCAGGGCGGGGCATAAGCCCTCCAGGGCGGAGCTGACAGCAAGGATAAAGCTAACAAAGCTGGCAGGCCAAGGAGCTTGGGTGGCGCTGAGATGGCCTCCGGGCCGGCAGCAGGGTCTGAAGTGGACTCTGAGGGCTCCCTGATTGGAGCGGGCTCTGGAGTGGACTCAAAGACTTGAGTGGGCTCCGGAGTGGACTCTGAGGGCTCCCGGACTGGAGCAGACGCTGGAGTGGAGTCTGAGGACTCCTGGACTGGAGCCGGCTCTAGAGTGGACTCTGAAGACTTCTGGACTGGAGCGGATTCTGGAGTGGACTCTGAATGCTCCCGGACTGGAGTGGGCTCTGGAGTGGAATCCAAAGCACCCCATGCCCGCAGAACAGCCCAGAGATTAAAGGCAAAGACGGCCTTCTTGATTATGGCAGCAGCAGTGAAATTGGGCAGCTCTGTAACGATTTCTGAGACCACCAGAGTCGGGTCCTCCAGGACCACCAGATTTGGGACCACTGGAGTTGGGTCCTCCAGGACCACCGGATTTGGGACCATTGGAGTCGGGTCCTCTAGGAGTGTGTGTAGTTTAATTAAATTCAAACAATAATCCAAAACAAAGCAAAAACATGGCAATAGGTAATACAAAACACAGGGTAACAGAAAACACAACGTAACGGGTGCAATAGTGATGGGATAATGAATAAATGACCTACAGGTGATGATAATCAGAACAGAAAAGACTAGGCAAAGGACTATGGGAAATATAGTTAATAGCATGTAACAGTGAAAGGGGAGAGTGCCATCAAGTGACCAGTCCAGGACACAACAACCAGACACTGTGACAAGATCTAATTTGTGAATGACTTCCCCATGGGCTACTCTGTGTACATATATGATTGTGCGTTTTTTATATGTTGCACTGGTCTTGATGTCAGTTGTGTGTGAAACTGTGTGCATGCTTGTGTGAACTGCTATTACACCTTAATATCATCAAACTATTTAACCTAGAGAAACAGGAAGTGCAATATTTGAATAAAAATAAAACATCTAAACAATTTGCAATATGAAAGATGTACTAAAAGCATCTGACTAAACAGAGACAAAATACAATATATAATCATATTCTATTATAAAGCAGGGACATTGCTAGATGTTTATTTTTATTTATTTATTTTTTACTGGGACATGAGCCTTTTTTTACTGATCCTTGTCTTACAAAGAAGATATAGCAGGGGTGTCAAACTTATAGTTCCTGAGGGCCACAGTCCTGCAAAGTTTAACTCCGACTCTAATTAAACAATTGATATCCATATATACACAACATATCTACATAAAAAAAGGAAAAAAATATTAAAATATAGAGACACCTTTTTATGCATACAATGGAACCCCTACAGAGACATGGAAAAATATATGTGAGATGAGAGGAAATATCATGCTTCAATGGTTTTGTGTTCGGTTTCAAAACATTTGCATTCTCTCACAAACCATTTGAGTTTTCTTCTCATCTCTCTCTCTCACTCTCTTTTACCATCACCATGTCCCTTTAGGTGCTCTGTACCGTACTGATTAAAGGTTAGAAACACCCCTGTTCTAAAGGATTCTTTATTTTAAAATGTAAATACGTATTATGCTCTCTCTAGGGTCCTCGGGATGGGAACATTTTACCTGGTTTTCGTGCAGTGTCGACCAATGTACAAATGCAAGTACAGCCCGATGTAGAAACATGGGTAAATAGTTTTTAATTGGCAAGTGCAAACAGTGTCTCTCGAGCTTGCCGAATGACAGATAAATCATATGTCTCTCACTTTTAGCTTAAAACAGTCCCTCTGCGATTAAACCATCTGCTTTAGATGATGCTACAAGTCACTTAAACACTCTTCGTAAAGTGATTTGAGGATGCAGCTAAAACACCGAGCGGAAGGAGCAAAACCACAGAAGAACTAAACATCTGAGCTGTGATGAACAATGACCAGCTGTTGAAGTCGTTGATGTACAGTCGCAATTGCCAAAGAGTGTTGGGAAAAACATGACAATTTTGAAAATAATAATCATCCAGGCAAGTGATTACTGCAGAAAACCACAAGGCTCACTGAACCCTTAAAGTAACAGTTCACCCACAAATGAAAACTGTCATTATTTACAGTACACAATCTCGTGTTTTTCCAAACCCGCACATTGTAGTTTTCTTGGTGGAAAACCAGAGTGGACATTTTTTTGAAGAACTGTTAAGCAGTTATTGTCATATGATAAATGGCAGGTCATAGTTACCTGACCAAGCGTTCTTCATTTTAAATAAAGGACATACAGTGGGTACGGAAAGTATTCAGACCCCTTTACATTTTTCACTCTTTGTTATATTGCAGCCATTTGCTAAAATCATTTAAGTTAATTTTTTCCCTCATTTATGTACACACAGCACCCCATATTGACAGAAAAACACAGAATTGTTGACATTTTTGCAGATTTATTAAAAAAGAAAAACTGAAATATCACATGGTCCTAAGTATTCAGACCCTTTGCTGTGACACTCATATATTTAACTCAGGTGCTGTCCATTTCTTCTGATCATCC